ATTGGACTCATATAAACTCTGAGAAAATGTTAAAGTTGATTCTGTGAGAGTCAATTAACAGTGTGTGTGTGGAGATCACATACAAGTCGCATTTAAATCGAAATGTGAACGACCTTGCAAAAAAACATAAAAAAAAACAGATTTCACAAAAAAATCCGATTCGAGCATTAAAGGTTGTATAGAGGATTTTCCAAGGAACGAGAAATCCAGCGACTGTTTGTCCTTTTTCAAATGTTGCGCATGTGTGAAACCACCCCCCCTCCCCTACAGCTCCTACGTAGAAACACCTCCTCCCTCCTCCTCTTTACGCCAGAAACAGGTTTGTTTACAGCCAGTGCTGCACATGACTTGTAAACAACTAACTACAGTGTTGGTTAGACAAGACGGAGAAGTGAGGAGCGGGGAGAGGAGCAGGAAAGGGGTGCAGAGAAGGTTGCACGGAGATTCAGTGTGAATGAACTAGCTACAACACGCAGCAGCAAGCGGACTCTTTCTTTGCCTTGAAAATTACGTTTTCAGACATAGGATATCGCTTTCGTGTCCTGAAAAACGTTTGTCTCGCTCTTGGAAATAAAGTACGTTTTCATAATAAGCAGAAGTTTCCTGTCCAGGAGTAATTTGTGGACCAGTGCGTCAGTCTTTAGACCCTGCGTCTGCTTCAGTTGCGCCATCGCTGGAATGAATCTTCAAGAATCACCTTAGTTTGGTTTCGCTGCTTTTCCCCTTGTCTTCTTCTTTCAGCGACCTCAAAAACGGACTTTCTTTTGCGGCTAACTGCTCCTGGATTCTTGTCGCCATTGCAACAAACTTTGTGCGAACTGCGAGGAAGATATAGGTCAAAAAAAGAACTGTTGCGTTGGTGGAGTAAACAGCGTCTGTGCGTCTGTGGACTGCGTGACAGTCGTACGTAAACCACGTACCGGCGGCGCAGGCAAGTCAGTTACACTAGAAACGTAGGGAGATTGATTGACAGCCTGTCAGCTCACAGATAACGAGGCAGTGTCGTTATCTATTGGCAAATGTTTAGCCCCACCACGTCCAGAGTTGATGAATTTTTATTCTCTTTTTTTTGGTCATCATAATTACAAGGCTACTGCACCTCTATAATCTATCATTGACAACTTGAAACAAAAAAAATCCTCCATACAACCTTTAAGCACTGCAGTCTGAGCGTAGCCAAAGAGTACTAAGAATGTGTAAAGTATGGTCTAGTAGAAGTGTGTGTTCTCAGTAAGAGGCTCATTACGTGATAATGATAGTGTTCATGTGCGTGTAAGTGCATGTGCTCTAATAGTTGCACTAATGAGTGTCATGCTGCGCTCTGAGATTGTTTAGTGGTTGCTGCTTAAAGGATAATTTGGGCTTTCTTAAATTCATCCTGGAGGGTCAGAGTTATTAGTGCTCCTGTCTTTTAACAATAGGAAGTTTGTGTTTTTTCACAGACTGTGTTGTAAAAGAGCACTCTGGGACAAGATTAGACGGCCGCACGCTTTCTTCAGGTCGTAATAAGTATTTTTATTTCTCATCAACTCGTAAATATAAGCGCTGAAAACTTGGGCGGTCCACCTCAGTTTTTTTAGGATATGAAAAAATCTGTTCTAACACTGTGCATGCTCCTGAAAATATGAATTTATGTGAAAAGTAAAGATGTGCCAAAGGGTCTGTGAGCTGCATACGTCCACAAACTCAAGAGTATTTTGGGTTTGAAACATTTGCAAAGGAAAGAGCTTCGTGCATTTGTGGAGAGAAAGATGTTTGTGCTTTTTTCGCAACTCAGTTTAACTCAAGATTGGTCAAAGAATCAGATTCAAGTCATTGTCTGGACGTTCTGCCTTTTCCCCGATTGTGAGAGCGAGCGAGCCATTCCAGACTGATGACGTGTAGATCTCAACTCAGACCAGGCCTGGGTGATATGAGAGAAAAATCCAATCGTGATCTCACCCCCGTGACAGTATTTTGGTGTTATCACGTTACGTGTGTTCCGATTTTCGTTTAAAGCAGCTCTAGGGTCAAAAACTCACTTTCCACTAGGGATGGGCATGATTAGTCGATTAATCGATAATTGATCATTAAGAATTTCATCGATTACGTTCATTTTAATCGACAAACCGAATGTAGGTCGCTGTGCGTAGCGTAGAGCGACCAAACAGGGTCAGTACGTGTGTCTCTCTGCACTCAGAAGGAGCGAGACACAAACAGTCGGTCAGTCTGCAGCGCACTGAAGTGCAAATATGAATGATGGGCAACGATGACTTGTACAAGAAAGTCCACGCTTTCCGTTCGGGACAAGTGTGAGGCCATGTGCCCAGTGTATAAAGCAGCACATATGTTTCGGTGTCCAGTGGGAAAGTTTCGCTCAATGTGGATGACGAGTCCCCACCTCCCTCCCCCCGTACGGTGTCCTGGTTTTGACAAACGCAAATCTGGTCACACTAACCTGTATTCACCTGAGTCATGTCTTTTAATCCGACAGAAATTGAACCGCATCAGCGACACAAGAGCTGTAGTTTTATCTTCGCTTAGTTTATGCAAATGAGCGATGCGGTTTTAAGTTTTGTTTCTGTGAGAGTTGCGCAAAACTGAATTAAACACATTATAATGTCAAACGGGCTGATGTGGCTCTAGAGTCGTTACGGTTTATATGTCGTAAAGTTGAATTTATTTATGCAGATTAGTAGTGCAGATAGTAATAATGATGATGATAATTTTAATATAAAAACGTTAATGATTAATCGATAATCGATCGTTAATTCTTCCGACGATCGATTAAGAAAATTTCACCGAATGCCCATCCCTAGTTTCCACGACCCATTCGTCCTGTTGATGAGCTTCTGTCACACTCTGAGTGAGTGACAGGTGTGTTCTGTAAATGGTAGGAGTTGGAGGAGACTGTTTCGGTGTGAGATGTTCGGTTTGGTGTTGCACGAGTGAGTTCGCGCAATTTGAAGACTTTGAAGACTACATGAAGGCTCGGCTCTTTAATATTCACGAGGGAACTTGTCCGTGATTGGGGTGTCAGTGTTTCCCGCAGGGCTTTATAGTTAGAGCGGCCGCCTTGACAACAATTGCCCCCCACCTTGACTATATCCCACAGTCATCACTTTCACCTTTTGTCGACACAGAATCTCATATCTTCATACATTTGTTTCGTATTTGAGAATATTTTATTTAAAGGGCCCATCTCATGCAAAATCAACTTTTCAGAGCTTTCTACCTTCTAAGAGTGATGTGTGGGGCCTTGTATATGTCGCTGAAGTGGTTTTTAGATTGATTCAGCTTTTTTTTTTTTACAAATTGCAGCGTATTTCTGCTACCCTCAATGAACTAAAGCCAGCTACACCTATGACGCGTTTGACGTGGCAGAAAGCGCTTCGCACCCGAACCCCTCGCCGCTCCACCGCCTCCGCCCCGCCTATTCCCACAATTCCCACATGAACACCTAAACAAAAGCGACAGCATAAGCTCATTGTTCTACACTGCAGTGAACACGATATAATAAGTTTATCTACTAGTGTTTATTAATACTTTACCAATCAGTAATGTTCAGCTGATGTCGATGCGGTGCTTGAGCTTCATGCTCCTCAAAGTCCTCGTCTGATTCCGGGTCCAACACATGCGGCTGAACGCGCTGTATCTCCATGATGAATAAAAGTTTATTCCTGCCGCTATCAGGGTCACGTCTGTCTCCCCCTCCCTCCCTGAGATGGGTGGAGGAAGGGCGGCTCACTCGTCGCCTACGTCACGTTTGGAGGGCGGAGCCTGTGCTTTCTCAGGACGGGCGGGGGAGGAGCAATAGTCGGACTTTCATAGTTCCTGGTCTGTGACTGTCCTCCAAGAAATCAGTAAGATTTCATAACTACTGTGTAATGGATGTTCCAAAACCCAAATTGTGCATAAGATACAATGTGAAAAGAGTTATTTTGCATGAGATGGGCCCTTTAACTTATTATTATTACCAAGCAGCACTTTGCATTTATTTGATTTTCCCGTTTGTGTAATGTTAAAACAAATTGTTGGTTTAATAAAAACACAAATAGACAAAAAGCAGATGGTTTTACATTTTGTTCCTGTACTGCATCGAAAATGAACCGAACCATGACCTCAAAACCAAAGTACGTACCGAACTGTGATTTTTGTCACATTGCAAATAGGAAGTGAGCACGGGGGAGCTTCCGGCTCCATCCACTCTAGGTTCAGTTCACTTTGTATTGAAAAAAACATCGCACCTCTCTCTGTGACTGTTGTCAGCTTGTCATTTTGGTCTTAAAATGTCCGTATTAACCCGCTCTACATGATCTTGGTGTTTTTATTTCACTATTTTGTCTGTAAATCAATTCCTATTCCTGATATAGAACTCGTCTCCACATTCCCTCCTGCAACTACTAACCTCTGTGAGCTTCGTTTGCCTGGAACTGAACACTTAACGGTGACGTCCCACTCCCTCAGTGCACTTGTTTATAGTTTACACTTAAGACTGAACTTTGAGAAACAGTCGACAGCTTTTGTTCGCTTTAAAGACTGTATAAAAGATAAAAGGAAAACATCAACTGTGATAAAAAATTGAAATCATGATTTGGCTCGTGAGTTTAACTTTTTAGCCCAGAGCCCTAATTCAGAGTGTCTGTGCTCCATATAACGGGATTTAAAGTGTCCAAAATGTAAAATAATGAGCCGCAGGAGTCATAGATTAGAACTGTAGAGAAAGACGTAATATATCTTCTTTAAGCTACAAACAGTCTTTAAACAGATGCAGATATCGGGAACAGAGCTGTTTTCTTCTAAACGCTGAACGTCCAACCAGAGCCGTTTTATTTATGTGAGCTGAAGATGAGCTCACATTTTTCAAGTACTGCCTCTCTTGTAAGTTTATATTTGACCAACGCCAACTGGAGTTTTAGCCAAGTGTAATAAATCAAGTGTATTTGCCTTGAAATGGAGACCCCGGGGTGTGAACAGTAGTCTGCAATCCTAATGTGCAAAAGCTGTTGGACTTCTGTAAGATGTGCTGTGAATACCTGTACGGGACGGACTTTATACGTTTGAAGAAGAGTCGTTTTTTATCCGATTCTTGGACGTACCTGTATGTCAAGGCTCGGTGTTCTCAGATCTCAGAAGCTAAACGAGGTCGGGGCTGGTTTGTGCTTGGATGGGAGACCAGGCAACTGTGACTCTAGTGGAAACTGTCCTGAGGCAAGATACTCGCCCACATTGCCTTGTCTGAACGTGGTGTGTGGGTGTGTTGTAATGTTCAGTGGGAATGGTAATGCAGATTTTCAGTGTGCCCCAGGGCAGCTGCGGCTACAGTAGAGTGAAAAATATACTCTAAAGAGCTTTGGGTGTCTTGAAATATGCTATATAAATGCACTTGAGACCAGTCTTGGTCTTGAGACCGACCCCAAGATAGTTTTTTTGCATTTTTTTTTTTTTTTTTCGTCTCAGACTCAACTGCATTTGGACTCGGTCTTGTCTCGGTCCTGAAGGCGTTTGGACTCGGTCTTGAAGGCACTTGGACTCGGTCTTGTCTCAGTCTTTAGGTCACTTGCACCTGGTTTGTCTCGGTCTTGAAGGCGCTTGGACTTGGTCTTGTCTCGGTCCTGAAGGCGATCGGACTCGGTCTTGTCTCGGTCTTGAAGGTGCTCGGACTCGGTCTCGTCTCGGTCTTGAAGGCGCTTGGACTCGATCTTGTCTCGGCCACGAAGGCGCCTGGACTCCAATCCAATCCACTTTATTTGTAGCACATTTACTACTATTTACTAATACTCACTCACTTAAGACTCAGTCTTGTCTCGGTCTTGAAGGCGCTTGGACTCGGTCTTGTCTCGCTTGAAGGCGCTTGGACTCGGTCTTGTCTCGGTCTTGAAGGCGCTTGGACTCGGTCTTGTCTCGGTCTTGAAGGCGCTTGGACTCGGTCTTGTCTCGGTCTTGAAGGCGCTTGGACTCGGTCTTGTCTCGGTCTTGAAGGCGCTTGGACTCGGTCTTGTCTCGGTCTTGAAGGCGCTTGGACTCGGTCTTGTCTCGGTCTTGAAGGCGCTTGGACTCGGTCTTGTCTCGGTCTTGAAGGCGCTTGGACTCGGTCTTGACTCTCGGTCTTGTCTCGGTCTTGAAGGCGCTTGGACTCGGTCTTGTCTCGGTCTTGAAGGCGCTTGGACTCGGTCTTGTCTCGGTCTTGAAGGCGCTTGGACTCGGTCTTGTCTCGGTCTTGAAAGGCGCTTGGACTCGGTCTTGTCTCGGTCTTGAAGGCGCTTGGACTCGGTCTCGAGGTCTGACACTCGACGATTGATAAAATGGAGATAGATTCATAAAAACATTGATATATATGTAAAATGCAAATAAAGGGCAAAAATGACAATTATGGTCTCGATTTGGTCTTTATGGGCCGTGGTCTTGGTCTCGTCTTGGTCTTGGCCGTTGAAAGTCTCGGTCTTGTATTGGTCTCGACCCTCAGAGGTCTTAGTCTTGTCTCGGTCTTGGGAACCTGTGGTCTCGGACAGGTCTTGGTATTATATTGTATCGATTGTTGATTGTAAGCAGGTATTGATACTGAAAAAAGGACATTTTATGAGTTAAAGGATCTAAATTTTCACCAATCAATACACAGGAATATTGAAAAAAATGCTCAGTTCTTTAGACTGTTTTTATCCACACTTTACCTCACCATTTTCTTTGCACTTAGTTCTTGAACTGCACAATACCTCAGTAACCTATTTCAACTTACGAGCAGCGAGTTAAACTGATAAATGTTCAGACTCCCCAGGTAATAACACAGTAAAAACATTAACACACTTCTTATTACGTTAATGGCCACTTCAGCGATTGATTTAATCAGGCCTGTGCGCTGTGTCTTTCTGATGAATTGAAGTGCACTTTAACAGCATCACTTACAGCTGTTCTCTCCGGCGCTGGGATGTTTACTCTATCACGTCCAGGACACCGGTCATGTGAAGTGTGAACTGTCCCACAGCGCTCGCCTGCTTCACACACACTTCATTCACGTTGAGTTTGTAGTAGTTTGGGGACTGGAACAAAGCTTATATTCTTATTTTGTGTTGGAAAAAAATCTATTCTGACTTTTAAACAATACACAACAAACAAGTTTTTTTTCTTATCATTGTGTAATTCGTATAATTCAAGTGTTGAGCCTTTTCCATTTATTGTAATCAAGTTTTTGACATTTGACAGCACTACTCTCCCGTCACATCATCATCATCATCATCATCATCATCATCTCTCATTGACCCAGCTCCTTCCTCTGTCCCGGTATAACCCCCGTCCTTGTCACACTGAGCCGAATTGACCCGCGCTGTTGTTTTTTTGCAGCGGACAAGCCCCAGAAGAAGGCCGCGTCCGTGGAGAAGAGCCTGAGAGCGGGATGGGAGTCGTCGATCCTTCTGGACGGGACCCCGGTGGAGCGTTTTGTGCTCAGCTCCAGGCCGGGACGATCGCACCGCTTCACCAAGTGGGACAAGGGCAGCAAGCCTAATCTGTTTGAGGATGTGGGTAAGAACAGCTCAATCATTTTGACTTGGACTCGGAAAAGAGTAAAGGATTCAGTGCGCACAAGTTACACTACAGCTACATGGATTAGAAGTGTAAGTTCTAGTGCAGTTTCCTCATCACAAACAGACCTGGAGTTGTGTTTTGTTTCATTCACACGTTTAACAAATTCTGCGTGTTTACTCTGTTAATTTCTCAAACTGAAAACACTCTGCTCCTTGTGATGTCATGTGGTAATACAAGAAGTGTACTGGTAGATAGAGACATGCACATCCAACAACAATTGCGACTGCGTACTGGATCCAAAGACAATAATAGTACAAAAAAAAAAAAGCAAAAGGATTCGCACCGCAGTTCCTTGAAGCTCCCACATTTTTATTTCAGTGCCACCACAATGTGACGTTTCAGGCCGAGCCCTTCTTCAGACGTGGCTTGGCCCGAAACGTCACTGAAATAAAAACTTGGTGCGGATCTCTTTCCTTTTTTAATACAAGAAGTGCGCCACTGTGTTTTTAAACTCCATACATACTCTCAAACTCCTTCACTGGAATCATTTAGATCAAGGGTCTCCAACCTTGTTCCAAAAATGAAAATGCCAGAGAGCTACTAAATTTTGTCATCACAGGAAATAAAATCTACATAAGAGCCATGGCAAGACTACAGTTAGATAAAACATAAAACATAAACCATTATTTATTTAAGAATGATGGATTTACAATAAAAAATAGGCATTTAATTAATCAAATTTGAGTTATTCAGGACAATACGTGTAATTCAGAAATCCCTTGGAGAGCTACTGGTAGCTCCCGAGCTACAGGTTGGAGACCCCTGATTTAGATCATTTCAACCCTAGAACTGCTAATCTCTAATGAACTAAAAGGTAAACGAGAGCTGTTAACTTGAAAACCATCGCTTCATGACATCACAAGGTGCATCACAGAGCATTTTGAGCTTTGGAGATGTATACAAATTAATTATAAATTGGTAATAAAGAATTACTCAAACTCAAGGTATGTTTTTGACGAGGTAACAGCAGAAGAACATGGCTTAAGCTGGGTGTAAATTGTGCAATCTTTGGCCCCTTTTGAACCGATTTTTCACTTGTGCGACTGTTTTTGGAATCGAGTTTTGGCTTAATCGTGCGTCGTGCTTTGTGTCGTAAACATGGGGTAACGAGAACCAATTTATGGCCTGTTTACACGAGAACGCTTGCGGGTAAAACCGAAAGCGCTCTTCGTTTTGACGGTGACGGCGTTTTTGGGGCTTAAAAACGCAAAAATCCGAAACCACCCTCCAGAGTGGAAAAGTTGAATACGCTCCGCCGTAGCGTTTCCATCTACACTGCCCAAGACGCAAAACTCTGGTCAGATCTGCTCATGTCACGTACACGTTTACATCACATACATCACCACCGAGCCGCCTGGCATGCATACACAATCGAATTCCACACACTTTCGCGTCACCGTACGCACGCAGATTTCCTCCCGAAAACGCTCGTCTAAACGCGGCATAAAAAGCGAAGACGCGACGCCACTTTTACGTCTTCTGTTCAGACCGTCATCACATAAACGTAGCCTCAGACCTCACGACCAGCTCCCCGTCGGCAGTCGTAGGTCGCAAGAATATCGAACCTGCCTCTCGTGAGAGTTTCGCACGAGATCGTATAGCGTGAGAACATGAATCGTGAGCTGCGAACTTTTAAACCCTCGTACAGTTTGAGCTGGGGCTGAGCGAAACGATGGAAAATGTGGCACGGTGTACAGTTTTAAAGCTCTGAAGTGTCCGTTTTGCGTAATATAGGAGCTTTAAATAGACTCTAAGAAGCCCTCTGTAAGTTATGTGGTAAAAAACAGACTGTAGATGAGTTAGAATAATCAATATAGGTCAAAATATATCGTCTAGATCTTATCGGACATCGGTTGCTCTGTGGTCTAAACAATCGGTCTCTGCATCGGCCGTGAAAAAGCCCATATCGGTCAGTCTCCAGTGTGAGGTGGACAGCTGTGTGCAGTCTGGCGGAGTCCTGTGGGGGCAGAGTTACTTCATTCTTGGACTCGGTCTGGTCCGCGTTTGCCAGACTCTAAACTGGTGTGAAGCCTGATTGATCGTTTTGAGAAGAAATACAATGTGAAACCTGTGGCTTTTTTCGGAGCAGCATTTCAGTGAAGTAAAAGTCTTGGGACACGGATTTGAACCCTCTCCAACTATTATTTGTAATTATTCTAATTTTCCATGAGCTTTTCACAGCTGTTTTATATTTAAGTATCCTGTTATAGTCTTGATTTTTACAGGTGTACCATGTAACCTTTTGGAGGAGGGTCTGCCAACAGCCGGTCTCTGTGGAGAGGTTTTTACGTTCCCTGGAATGTTCCGCAATATGACATTAAACATATATATCTTGCGTTTATTCACATTGTAATTTGTATTGAATGTCTTTCTCAGAATCAAAATCAGTTGAAATTTTTACATCGTGACAACACTAGACAACAAAAACGTTATATTGAGCATCTTTAAAAGTTCGATATTACACAAAATTTACTTTTTAAGCCGTGTTAGAATATTGTTTCCTCATCAAAAACAGACCTGAAGTTGTGTTTTGTTTCATTCACGCGTGTTTGAGTAACACTTTATTTAGTGCTGTCAGGCGATTAAAAAAATTGAGAGATTAATTAATTATGATCTGTAATTAATTAATCTAATTAATCTCTTTTTAATCTCACCGAAAAAATGCTGAGAAAAGCCTTCAACTTGAGGTATTTTCATTTAAATTCATTATTACATTATTATTATTACATATAAACCATGAACACTCTAGAGCCACATCAGCTCGTTTGAAATTATAATGTGTTTAATGCTGATTTGCGCAAGTCTCACAGAAACGAAACTTAAAAACCGCATGGCTAATTTGCATAAACTAAGCGAGAAAAAAAAAAAAAAAAGCTCTTGTGTCGCTGATGCGGTTCAGCTTCTGTGGGACTAAAGGACACGACTCAGTGGAATATGAGTTTTCTGACAGAGTGTTGAAGGTGAAGGCGAGTCTGTTCTGTGTTTGTGTCGTGATGTTTTCAGAGATCAGACGTGTGCAGGTTTATCGCAGATGCGGCGAGAACGAGAAGGAAAATCACAATTGTTTGCGGAAGCGATGCGTTATTGTCCCAACAACACATAAAAACAGATTTTATAATAAGGCAACTCGCGTACAGAAACAGTAAAGTTAGAGATTAAAAATTAGATTAACGCGATTAAAAAATATAACGCGCTAAATATGACTGTAATTAATTAATCGCAATTAACGCGATAATTTGACACCCCTAACTTTATTATTAGGCTACGTTTATATAATGACAGTCTGAACACAAGAAGACTTTACTGTTTTATTCCGCGTTTAGACGAGTGTGATCAGGAGGAAATCTGTGTAAATACAAACGCAAAAGTGACGCAAAACTGTGTGGAATTTGATCGGGTATGCGTGACAATTTTCTGTGTACTATATGTATGTGATGTAAACATGTACGTGACCAGATGTGACCAGAGTTTTACGTCTTGGGCAGTGTAAACGGAAACACTACGGCGGAGCAGATTTGGTTTCAGATTTTTGTGTTTTTTAAGCCCTAAAAACCTCGTCATCGTCTAAATGAAAGGCACTTCTGATAAAATATTTTATAATTTTTACTCGCAAGCGTTCTCGTGTAAACAGGCCCTTAGTCTGTCTACAGCTCCAAGGCACAAAAAGCTCTGTTCCACCTTGTGACGTCATGACGTTTTCAAGTTAACAACTACATTTTACCTTTTATTCAGTAGAGACGCGAAATTCCAGATCTGAAATTATTCAAATGATTCTAGTGAAGGTGTTTTCGCGTTTGAAAACTGTTCTAAAGCGCAGATGTAGGACCCAAAATCAGAACCAAAACGCAGGTAAAGTAAAGAGATTTATTTTACAGGCGTGACAGGAGCTGGGAGGGGTCACAGCTGGTCACGACCTGGTCACGACCTGGTCACGAGGCAACCAGGTGAGTAGAGATGGGAGATCCAGGGAGCACTGAGAGCTAGAGGTGAGATCGGGCCTAAAAAATCCAGCCCGACCCGACCCGGCCCGCGGGTATTAAAACCCGACCCGGCCCGAGCCCGACCAATTAACTTGATTTGCAGGCCCGAGCCCGAAGTCTGTGTCTGGCCTGCTTAGCGCGAAGAGGAGGGGCGGTCTTTGAAACAAATGATAATATAGATGTTTGACGATCATCACTTTTGCCAGTACAGCTGTTTAAATGCCTGTTCAGCGTCGAGGTGCCAGTCTTTTTGCTCTCGTATGAAAGCAAAGCGCCACATTGACGACATTCAGCGAAGCCAACGCAAGTTTCTGTAGCATTTTCAACAATCAATTTGAAGCTTTTCCACACCTCACTCTTACCGGTGCGTGTTTGTCTTTTCAGTTCTCCTGCCTTTAGTTTAACTTCTTGCTCCTCCATATTGGAGATACCAGGTCAAAATAGATGCAGACTTGCGGAGGGGAAGATTATTAAATGAAGAGGGGGCGTTCACGTGCGCAGAGCTCTGGCTCTGCGGATCCTGTTTAGTAGTTAAATATCAATTACATTTATATTACTTCTCTGTTTTATCCATATTATTTATTTTATAACAAGTATTCCTTAGTTTAGTATCCACACATCATTTTAGCATACATTTTATAAACATATATTTATTTGAAAAAAAGTCAGCGAGAGAGAAGCCCGAGCCCGACCCGACCTGGCTTGGGCTTGGGCTCGGTCTTAAGATCTTACCTCTACTGAGAGCAGAAAAAAAATACAAAAAGTCCAGGAAAAGGTATGTAAATATAAAAAAAAAAAAAAACAGAAAACAAGATGTTCTGGAACAGAGCCATGATCTAGTTACCAAGTATGGAAAACTAACAAAGTGGCAGGGAGAAGAGGAAGAAGTTGGTTGATTATGACAAAAACACAGTGAAGCACTTCCTGTATTACCAGTGTTGTGTTTGAGAAAAGAAG